GGTTAGTTGTTCAAAACTGTGTTGCCCAAGTTTTGGCTTGTTCGCTTGAGAGAACTTTCTTGTGCTTGAGCAAACTTTGAGAACTTCCAGTACTTTTAGAGGTCTGCAAAACTACTGTGAGTATGGCATTCTTCGCTCGAGCTGTGTTTCTTGCGCTCGAGTGGTCTTAGCTTGAGCGGTCCTTTTTGCACTCAAGTGGTCTTTTAGAACTCTCAATATTTTTGTAGGCCTACAAAAGTACTAGGAGGGTTGTGTTCTTCACTCGAGCGATCAATTTGTTCGCTCAAGTGGTCTCACTTTTTGTGTCTGGTCGCTCGAATGGTCTGCGCGTATATCAGTTTCGAAAAGTCACTTTTTAAGTCACTTTTTCGCATCTTTCTCTCTCTAAACACCCCAAAATCTCAGATCTTCCCTCTCTCTCTCTCTCTAGTTCTTGAACATTTGACCCAAATACACATTGATCCATCAATCCCTATACCCTAGTCCCTTTGATCAAATGAGAGAGCACGTCGAGGGCTTTGTTCTAATAGGAGAAGTTCGTGTTTTTGGCTCCGTCAAGTTCTACCCATCTTTCCTTTGAGTCTTCTTCTTTGAGGTAGCGATTACTTTGACATTTTTGTATGATTTTTAACTTAGTTATTTTCTTTTCTAAATAAGATTGTGATTTGGGAATTTTTGGATAAAACCTAGGGTTTTGGCTTTGAAATCAAAAGAGGAGTTTCAAAATGGTTTTCTTGGAAATGATTGTGAGGTTGTGGATATGGTTGAGTTATGATAAAATGGTGGATTTCCATCCTTAAAATTGATTTTTCAAAGAAAATGGATTTTGCCCTAAAATGTGAATGATGGATTTTGTAAAGAGAAAATGGAATTGATGTTGGTTTCATGGAATTGGAATGATGATGATGATGGAGTTGGATATGAATTGTCACTCCTATGTGGAAATGTTGGAAAGTACATTTGTGTTGGAAATTATTTATCTGTTTAGAGATATCTGTTTTGGCTATCGGTGGAAGATAATTATGATTGTTGTAGAAATTGTATGAGGATTAGATGAATTGAAACTAATTTCTCATCCATTTGCATTGAGCATTGTTACATAGTTAATACATTGAAAATGTATACTGTTTTGAGAAAAATAAGTGAATACCTTGGTGAATCTGGGTAGGAGTATAATTGTGGTATTGTGTTAGCCTGTGTATCCTTGGTGAAAGTCCAGAAACCTGCGCAGATAGGTGCCGAGCCTTCCGGTTAGTACTCGTAAAAATGGCAATTGGTAGTACTTCTAGCCTATTTGCAGACACGTCCAAGAGATTCCCAATGTTGTATCCACTTTCCTGTTTTTATTGAAAAAGGAAATGATTACATGGGTTGTGATATAAACTTGGCATTGCATAGGTTTTTGGAAAGAGATATAAAATGTTTTGATATAAGTATTACATATGCATTCACCTTATAACTTTATTAAGATTCATACACTGTGTTAGAGTATATTTACTAGGCTTTTGTTCACCCTATGTAGAAAATCATTTTCAGGTGCTGATGATATGTCTCTGCCAAGGTAGTGGCTTTAGAGGACTTGGATCCAAGAGCTTCTCTTTTGTTATTATTGTATTTATTTTGTACAAACCTAGGGCTTTATTTATATTGAGTTTAAACTTACTTTTGATGTAACCAAGTATTGTCTTGGAAAGTTGTAGCCACTAGGGCATTTATATATCTGTTTATCTTTTATTTCATATCTTTTGTTTATAACATATGTTATAGATTCAGGGTTAGGGCTTATGAATGTATAAATGTATGTGTTACTCTTTTGTACACTTCAAGTATATGAATGGAAGGACTTTATTCTCAGATTATGATGTTGTTTAATTAATCATTACTCTCATTTTGTTGTAATTATTTCGGGGCATTACATTATCCCTAGAGTGTAGCTAGGCCTTTCTGGGCAGCCCATCTTTCCTTTCATTCCATCCATGCAAATTATTTCTACAACCTTTCTTTCCTACTAGCATCCAAGGCCCAATGTTTTCTTTGTCTGTCCTATTGCCCACTCCTTGTAGGCGACCAATTTACACCTTCCCTCACAAGGCTTGTATTAGTTCTACCAACGATCGATTTTGATGTAGTCATTTCACCTCTTTGGTTTTAGTTATTCACTGGCGCTAGACCACAATTAAGGAAAATTGAGTGTAGATGTTCATACTCAATAACGTAAATGTTCTTACTGATTAAAAAGTGTGATCTTAGTAGTTTGTTGAGATCCATCTCTATACACACTTGTATATTTTCCTCTTATTGACGTTGCGTTGATGTCAATCTTTAACGGTTTTCCCAAGGCTTTGGCAATGTGGAACAACACTTTCTTCTTGTAAAACTCAATCGGAAGTTAGGGAAATCTTATCCAAAGCATTATTGATACCTCTTTCGCTTCCGCTAGTTTGAAATCGTGTCTTCATTCCCTTGTAATAAAATAGTGATCTAGAATAATCCAAGGTTCCCCTATTACATATAGGAGCAATCCTCCTCCATTTGGAATTTTAGGAGAAAGATGCCAAAGCCAAGCTTGATGGCTTTTGAAATCCCCTTGCAAATCCCAAATCAAGTTAATCTTCGCAGTTAACAACTTATACCCCCACATTTCTACCCACGAGCTTAATAATCAGACAATCTTTTTAGGTTCTTCTTATCTTGGTGAGCATATTTTTCAGAAGTTTAATTATAGGGATCCCAAAACATCAGTTTTTGGGAATTCCTTATCATCCTCCCTTTCCTTGCCATTTGAGAATTTGTCATATGTGGGCAAATTATCTAGATCCTTATCAAAAGACCTTTCTTTTGTCCTTCTTTCAATTGGGGATTGGTTAAAGAAAGCTCCACTTATGAAATCGCTTAGCCATTAATTAATTCTCCGATCTTGGCCGAGCTAGCATTGTTGAGATGTGCTTCAATGTTTACATTTAAGCCTCCTAAAGTGCATTTGTTAAGTCTTCAATTCTAGTTACTTGATGTATTCTAATGCAATCTTTGTAGGTATTTGAGCTTACGATGCTAAAAGGCTATCAATTAGGAGCTTTTGAGAGCTTGATGGAACATGCATTGAAGTCCAAATCAAGGCAAGGAAATGAATCTTTGAAAGTTGAAAAAGAACAAACAAGTCACCTTTTTATGCTCAAGAACAGAGTTTGAGGGCTTGAGAATGTAAGTTGTTGAAGAGAAAAACATTTTGCGACCTTGTCTTCAAGCATAGACGTGACATACTCAAGCAAAATTTTCCTATTTTCAAGGTTATGTTCAACACTAAAAAGGGGCTGGTGTTTCTATGAAGGGGGACCTTTGGAATGCTTGGTTTTGGGAAGAGAACAAGAGGAGAGAAAGAAGTTCCACAGCAAAATCAAAGAGCGGAGCAAGGATTGAAAGATGGAATCACCAATCTACATGGAGATATTTTTTATAATCATGAGCGAAGCAAGGATTGAAAGATGGAATCACCAATCTACATGGAGATATTTTTTATAATCATGAGCGACTAGACTCTCTCTCTTAGGATTTGATTAAATCCCAATCAAGTAGTTAGGGTTTTGTATTTTTGTGTTGAGATTGATGTATTATGATGATGATTGTATAGCAGTTTTAGAGTTTTTATACAAACAAGTTCTTTATTCGACTTCATATGTATTTAATTGCTGTGATATTAAATATATTGTTATACAATGGTGGTTCTTATGCATACATTAAAATTGAACACAGACCCACTATTGTATAACTATATATTTAAATAACTTGTTTGTATAAATATATATTTCAAATTACTTGTTCGAATTCTTCATTTATGCAAATAAGTTCTTTATTTAACTTCATACCCAGGGAAGGTAAGGTATGCCTATGAGTGTAGTTTAACGTAAACGCCTTGTGCCAATTGATGATGATTCATACCTGTAATTTGAATGCATGAATATCCATGCAGATGTTATTGGGATTTATAGTCATACATCATTATAGTGATTTCTCTTGAGGTGAAATTAATATGCCCTAGTTAGAGATAAGTGGTGAATTCAATTACCTTCAGACTTTCACTTTTATACTAATCTTACATTGTTTTAGATTATTTTAGCTCTAAATTAATTTCATTACTTTCATCTAAAAATCCTTGTTGAATTAATTTAGAATTAATTTATGAAATTCCTAATAATTTTACAGTCCATGTGGATCGATACCCAAATTTAGTCACTATCCTACAAATTCGTACTATTGCGAGATTTACAAATATTTAAATTATTTTTACTACCCCAAAGTAAACCATCAATTGTATCATCATCACCGAAATTGGCTGCTTTGATTTTTGTTTGTACTACAGATTAAGTTGTCTTCCTCCTCGCTAGATTGTTAGCGTTAGACGTCATACTACTAAGAAAATATATATATATATATATATATAGAGAGAGAGAGAGAGAGACTGAAAGAATCACAGTACTGCGTCTGTGCCATTCCAGTCCATCTTCAATGGAAAGAGAGTAGTCAAGCCATAGTCCATTCCCAGTAGATGGTTTGCTTCACCAGAGCACATCTACTAGTGAGAAGTGTCGGTCTGGAAACATGTAGTCCCTTTCTTCTATGAAAGGTCAGGGCTAATCTGATCGCACCAAAATGTAAATGATTATACCCTTCCATCTGCCAGTGTCGGCGAAGTTCCTCGGGGATTTATCCTGCTACTCTCTCTACTACCAGAAGGCCTACAGAGTGGAGAATCATGCATTTGAATCCTGCATTTGATTTGGTTCTTCCCAGAAGTTCTAGAGGTCTTCACTTTTGAGCATCGAATATCCAGAGCACTCTTAATCATCCTGTGTCTACCTTCTAAAACAAATCCTCAAACCTAAACTTCTCAAACTTATTCCTATTCTCGAGTTACAAACTATGAAAAAATCCATCATATCCCACGAACTATCCAATCTACTAACCCCACCTCATAAAATAAGTTTGCAAATCAACACCCAGAATAATGCTCAAAATATTTGTAGCTATGTCAGCAATTGGTATTATTTTCACTAATATGAGTCAAGTGTCATTTGTGACCTTACAGAAAACAAATTATTCACAGGACAGTACAAAGTCATACAAACTGAAGTTCAGCGTATGCGACAGCTCTTAATCCTCATAAAAAAAACAAGATACATAACCAAAAAAGAAATGAAAGTAAAGCTCACAAAATGATGGCTTGTCACACTCACGGGATCTTCCACCAAGTTAAAATTTGCAGTTAAAGACACCTCGTGCAGAAACTATGTTGGCTGCCTTTGGATTAGAGAGATTATCATGCAACAGAAATTATTATGCAAGCCGTCTTCTAAAGTTTCCGGTTGTAGCTTGGTAAGTACGGACTAGCAAACCGACTCCTATTCCAATTCCGAGGCAAATGCCAAGGCCTATCCCAACACCAACCCTTACACCAGCATTGAACCAAGAGAGTTCGCCATCTTCACCTTCCATGTACTCTGTTCCCCCCGTCCAGTACATGTTGTAGTAGTCTTCTTCACTTTCTGGTTTATAGTCTCTGTATTCTGCCATCTGCAAACTCAAAAAAAACAAATTGTATCAATGACATGCCATATTTTGAAGGCAGAAACAGATAAAAGAGATTTTTCTGGAACTAAAAGTGAAATAGATATGCCAAGTATTAAAAGGGAAAATCTCACTACAAAAAAAGCGTGGTAGTGTCTTCTAAGTTGCAAAAACATAACATATATTGCCTGAATGGCAAATATAAAACTCCAAAAGAGCAAGTTGTTACCAAACAGTCTGCATTATCTACATAGATTAGGCATGTCAACAGACTTCAACATGATATAATGGAGCTAGATAAACTATATTCAATTGCATCTTCAATTTGTCTTCTTATTTTGTAGAAGATCTAGTTACGCGTCTACTGTGGCCTGAAGCGAAATTACTTCTGAGGATGGATATTGACACGTTAATGTGCCCAACAGAAAGCAAAATCCACTCAAGCAAATCATATCAAGTTTATGATGCCAGCAAAGTGGGTATAGGGATTTCCTGATTAATGGATCCAGCTAAAAAGATTTATGAGAAAACATTACAATGATCTATTGGGATTTATTGTATGGTTAATCATTCACATATTCAAACATGATAGCTCCCAGAAAATACTTCACCTCAGATGGTCCAAAAAATATATATATATATATATATATATTCACACTAGCCAAGAACTTTATCCTAGTTTTGAGACCACAAAACACAAGATGCTTTGGGCATGATATGTATCCAAGATCGAAGCATATTCACAAACGGTGACTCATGTATTGATCAAGATGAATTGGCTTCATAATACAGGTGCTGTAGAGCCCAATTTAATCCCCATAAAACTTTCTAAAAATGCTTACAAGAGAAAGTTGGTCCCACTACAAGTGGCTCTTGTGATGAGGTTCATGCATGTCAGGTTGTGGCAGGACATGGATAATGCAACAGAATACAAAAAGGATAATGAAGTCATACTCAATCCCTTCAAAACATGTGCCCTTCCCATACCCCGATGATGTATCTAGGATAAGGTTGTGTTTGGCAATCCAAGAATCAAGCCTCAACAGAAATGAGCTTTTGTGTGATAAGAAACATGTTTCAATGAGAGGAAGCATGCCAGCATCCATAACAAGATGGTAAGGCTCCCCTCCCCTCCAATCAGAACACAGTTAAAACAATGAATATTGAACCATACACCAACACACTTGGCCCACCATATTGATTTCAGCAAGAAAGACAATTAACACACAATCAAAAGTACCAATGAAAGTATAAGCAATGACATGGTCAAAGAAAATAGGAGGAGGATGTGAAGTTTAGAGAGTGTGCATCTAATTGGTATTGAGTCTAGATTACAATATTTGGTGGCACATGTGTGATCTACCAGAGGATAATCAAGCGAATCTCAAATTTCTAGCTGGAGATATCGTAGCTGGAGATATCGAGTTAAAAGGGAAGCTTACGAGAGTTCACAGCAAGGGGTTCTCGTGATAGGGTTTCCCTTGCAAAAAGTGAACCAAGGATGGAATTCACTACCAAATTGTAGTTTCACAATATTGGAGGCCATACCACATTATGGGTTTACTTTCTCTTGCACCACAGCATCTTGTTAAGCCAATTCACTAATTAATTATTACAGAACCATGCAGAACCTGCTTAGGTATATAAGATGTGCCAATTGGTGATAAAACCTCCAATGCATGGAATTAAAAACCCACAATATTTTGGATATATCTATCGATATGTCCATAGTTTAAGACCTTGGTACATCGATATTATCCTCAAATGTCATTATTTTTTCAATTTCTCTAATTTATCCATAATAATATCAATTTTACATGCTATATCCATAGTTTTAGGGCTGCGATATATACTTTTTCTAAATACTCTATTCCTTGTGCGCCATTTTTTTGGAATTTGCTACTGAATTGTAGTTTCTTATCATTGGAGGCTATACCACATTATGGGTTTACTTTCTTTCACACCGTAGCATCTTGTTAGGCCAATTCACTAATTAATTATTAGTGAACCATAGAAAACCTACTTAGGAAGTGCCCATTGGTGATAATACCATCAATGCAGCACTAAAAAATAAGAATTTTGCGATATTTGCAATATATCCATTGATATGATATGTCCAAATTTCTAAGACCTTGATACATCAATATCAACCTAATATTTTGTATAATTTTACTAATTTCTCTAATTATTATGCAGTATACCACAGTTTTAGGGTTGCAATATATTCATTTTATTGATATTCTATTACTTGTTCAGCAATAAAATGGTGGATGAATGCTATCAAGAACTCAGAAAATAAGAACACCACAATGTTTGGGTAGAAAAAAATTGCAACATACTACCTGAAGATCAAGTCCAGAGGCATCATTTTTTGGGGATTCAGTTGTTTCAGACTCCGGGATTGAATCTAATGTCCCTTTCCTATTGTGCTTCTTCCCAAAACTAGGTTGCAAAGTCTTAGTTAGAATAATTGGTGTTCCTGAAAAGCAACCTGTAATATAGACTTCAATGGTAGTAGGCGACAATGATTCAGAACCCACAAAATGTTTTCCCTTCAAGAATCCAGCACCAGCATTCATCACTGGTTCACAGTTCATGGTCCATCGCTGAGCACTATTTTTTGATTCCCCAATGAAACCATTGCTATTGGACATCTCCAGAACTCCATATAACACAAGATCTTCTTTATCAAAAACCTGAAATTTCACACTCCCGGCTAACCTTATACTATCCGTGCTCACAAATGTGGCTTCTTCTGATTTCTTATCCACTCTGTCTCTCCGAAGAAGGGACGTGATTCCTTCTGAGTTAATGGAACATCTCACACCGTTCACTTCGAGGAGGGTGTCAGGGCTCAGAGGGATATGGTTTAGAGTGAGACACTCGGGGGTCGAATCATCGACCAAGAAATTGCTGATTCTAACATAGAAAACTCTCAAATCAAACCATGGTAATGATCTGTGGCGTTGGTAAGCCGGGTGCCTAATAATCTGGAGCCCTGGATCAGCTGAGTTATCTTCATTCAATGCTTCATAAGAATTCTCCATTTTCCAGGACCTCAATCCTCAAATGCTACAAAATCGGCCATGATAATGAAATCGGAAGAACCATGTCAATCATCAAACAAACCCTGTTCCAGATCCAACATATCATTTTGCAATTAGAAAATCATAAACAGTGAACTAAAAATCAGAATTAAAAAGCAACAAATAGTAGGGATTCTTGTATTCTCACATTTTTTCAGTCATAGTACATGAAACCTCTTAAATTAAAGAACCAGAAATTGATTAAAAAACAAAAAAGACCAATAGGGATTGAAAAGTAAATGCCAAATATACTTTCTGTTCAGAGAGTCAAAAGAATATATGCTGAGGGAAATTATAAACCCTAAAATAGAACAGAGGAGAGAGAGAGAGAGAGAGAGTGAGAGAGAGAGAGGGGATAAAACAGTAAGGATAAAAATACAATATAATTCAAAGATTGGAAGCTGCAAAATTTGATAGAATAATTTGAACAAACGATCTTTGTTCAAAATAATGCATGCCCCATAACAAATTCTTAGATCAAAATGAAAGAAATCTTATATGAGATTATACAAACGTGTCACACCAGAAATAAATAAAATAAAATAAAAAACAAACAAACAACATTAAACATAAAATGAAAATTTTGAAGTGTGAAATAAAATAAATCCCACCAGCACTCCATGAATCCAAATCAAATCAGAGTAGTATTGTCCTTTAATTTAAATTTTTTTTTTTCTAATTTCAAATTGAGGAAATACTAGCTTGAGCTTAATACCCTGCAACTCTATGCTATCAAATGAGAGAGAGAGAGAGAGACTCTCTAGAAGTATTACTCTCTCTCTAAAAGTACGACCCTCTCTAGATGAATCTAGAAAGAGACAGAGGTGGCACAAACATGTATGAAATACCATAGGAAATTATCAAGATAGCTAGCTAGCTCTATCAAAAACCTCCAAACAATCGATTCCAAGCTGTGGATGGCTAAACGCTTTCAAGATCTAAGCAAAGAGATTTTGATCTCTTCTTCCTCCCAAACATTTGTGGCCCAAATCAGTAACAGTCAAAACCAGAGCAACCCAGCTCTTGAAATCTCTTTTGTCAAAACCGAACTGGGCGAAACATCAGGTATTTTTCTCTCAGATGGGTCGTTTGAATTGTTTTGCTGCCGTTTCTTTTCGGTTTTGAGTTTATATTTATAAAGATTTTAAAAATTTAAATAAAAATTTATTTGGTAAATTTTTAATTTATATACTCCCTCCGTCCCAAAATAATAGTCCCTTTTGGGGAATCCAATTTTTTTTAATAGTACAATTATTGTACTTTTAAAAAGTTAGTTTTCCAAAATTACCATTTGATAGTACACTTTTTTTAGAATATCAATGTCATAATTGTACTTTTTATATTATTTATGAATTTAAAAGAAGGGCAAAATGAGAAATTTATATTATTTTTGTACTTGATTTTTGAAGAGGGACTAATATTTTGGGACAATGAAAAATGGAATAAGGGACTAATATTATGGGACGGAGGGAGTACAAAGTAAAGGTATTGCTTATTAATATGAGTTAATTACATACTTCAGCTCCTTGTTTTCTGCCCTTAGCACGCTTATCTCTGCTCGCGCATCCTTATACATGCGTTGGAGCAGAGCCAGCTGGGAGTTTAAATGCTGCACACCCACTACCCACCTGCCATCCACCCGCCACTGCCATCCACCGCCGCTACCCGCCACCTACTTGCCACCACCACTTACCACTCACCCGCCACCACCACCCACCACCAGCCACCTGCCACCACCACCTACTTGCCACCACCATCCACCCACCCGTCACCGCTTTTTACCACCGTCTTCCGCCGCCGCCACTTGCCACCACTTTCCACCACCGTCTTCTGCCACCATCACCCACCACCTGCCACCATTTTCCACCACCACCACCCACCATCATTTTCCACCACCGTCTTCCGCCGCCACCACTCGTCACCACGCACCACATGCCACCACTTGTCATTTTTCACTTTTTTTTTAAATTTTTTAAAACATTTTGTCTAAACCAAACGCGTTTGTAGTTTATGTTTTTCTAAAAATAAACAAAAAATAAACGAAAATTAGTTTATAAAATTTTTGTAAATATAAATAGAAAACGTAAACGTTACCAAACAAGTTACTGTTGTTTGGCATGCTTGAAAATAGCACATGTATTTTTAGTATATTATCTTATTTAAGTGCTATTATCTTTTTATTATATCATTTTAAATTTAATTCATATTTCACGTTTTCTTATAAAAAGTTAAAAAGTATACTAATTTAATACTTTTCAAACAATCACTTAATATATATATATATATATATATTTTAGATAGAAAAGTAATTATAAATATGAAAAATATTTATAATATCAAATAAATTAGGGTAGATTATAATAACACCTTATGAGATTTCTGTTTAATACACATTCTTTTCTCATGCTTGAAAAATTATATTTCCATTCATGAAATTTGTAATCTCATTATAAATTGTTCCTCGATTGCTGATGTCATGATCTAAAATTTTTTGAATGACAATTTTGCCATTTTTCTACTATTTCTTCTTTCTATTATCATGACTACATTTTACTACTTTTCATCATTAAATTCTACATGAACATATTCTTATACAAACATAAATTTTATATAAAATTTCCAAGCACAATGATATAACTTGATGGTGACCTTACAAAACACTCATAAATATGATTTATATTTACAACAACATCAGTACCACAATATTTTTATGATACTTTTTGTATAAGTTTTTACATATTAATAGAATTTTCATTTTTATTTCGACCATCATTTTTCTTTCTCATCTATTTACCCACGTTTATTACAATATTACCAAACACCGACATTCACATTTGTTACAGTAGTACTGGATTTCTATATTTTTGTATTTTCATATTTGGTGAATTTTAAAAAAAAAAATCACAAAATATTATACTACTTAACTATATGTAGATTAGATGTATCTTAAAAAAAAAAAATACTTAAAATATGAAGAAAAAAAATTAGTAAAAATAAAAAATATGGAAAATAAAAAAAATTAATTTAATTTAATTTAATTTAATTTAATTTAATTTTTTTTTTTTTGTGAGTTAAACTAAAAAAAATCGTTATTTCTTTTGAAATGATTTGAACAAAATATCAATATTATTTTATTATTTTATATATATAAAAATTAAGAGACAAATATATCATTTTAATTTAATAAAAAAATAAATATAATTTTTTAAATACAAGGAATGAATCTATATTAAATAGAAACAAACGAAATGTCAATGTAATTTACCTAGGCCTCGTTTGGAAACCCTCCCGTTTAGTCAAAAAATCAAAAAGTTACCAAAAAAAGTTAAAAAGTCACCCTAAAAACCTATGTACAGTAGCTGCACGTGAAGTCTGCCAGCTATAGTGTAAAATGACCGTTTTGCCCCTCCTTGATTTTGTTTATTTCGTTCTCACCCCTCGCTTTATGTCAAACATTGATGGGAATATCAGCAAAGCTATTATCACACAGGGTGTAGTAGCTAGAGCTATTCAGCTACATCAAAGAGTGAAGATGAAGAGGGCCCTTCGTTCAAGGGTAGATCATAGTAGAAGCTTCGATCTGAGAAGAAACACGAACCATGCGATGACGATAGTCCGCCAAGGCGAACGGAAAAGCAGTCCCTCCTCCGACGATCCCTTCAACTACAGGTATGCTCTTGCTCTCTCTCTCTTTGTCTCTCTCTCTCTCTCTTCGGCCTCTCTTCTTTTTATTTCGCTATGTAATCATAAGTCGTATGCTCTGTTTGGTTTGTATGTATGTATGAACTCTTTCTCTCTCTCTTGTGCTCTCTCTGTCTCTGTGTGTGTGTGTGTCTGTCGTCCTGTGTGACCATTTTCGTATTTGAATTTGTCTTCAAAATTCAGAGTTGGGTAATTCTTTGCAGAAAGTTGTCTATATATTGCCATGTGCGGGGTTTTAGGGCTTCCTTTCACCTACTGAGAGCAGTTTAGCAATATGCGGGTTGTTTGTTGGTGGGGGGTGTGGATCTCATAACCATGACTTGTTTGCTCTGTTTTTTGTATATGTATGAACTCTTCTGTCTCTCGCTCTTGCTCTCTCTTTGTCTTTGTCTTTGTATGTGTGTGTGTGTGTATCACCACTTGCCAATTTGAACACATTATGTGTTGTAAAAAAAAAAATTTACAACGCATTTGGGTAATTAACAAGAAAGTCCCCTAAATAGGATCCCACATTTTGCACATGAAATGAAGTTATTCAGTTATACCATTCATGAATGGTTGATCCTTACATATGTTTCAATACAAATCCTTTACATACAACACAAACAGACCAAAGACATTATACGACGGGTTCTCTTTAGCTCCTCGTTCTTATCTGTTTCAGCCAAAATGGAATTCTTCATTTTCATATAAGGCTCATTGTTTATGCTATTGGTAAGGTTGTCACCCATGAGAAATTATGTGGATATGTTTAAAATAGCATCCCCTTATGGTCCTCAGTTCTTATAGCTATTGAATTCAACAAGTTGAAAGTATTTTGATGATAGCTTTTCTCCCGTGTAACATAATTGAAAATCTAAGAAGACAAAGGGAGAGAACTTGGGCTATTTGTCAGTATAATCTTTCCAATTACTCTCTCTCTCTCTCTCTCTGGTTATAATTTTTGAATACTTTGACATGAAATCATTATTTATACTATTCTTGTAAATTTGGTGAAATTAGCTACTTAAAGGTCTTGATTTTTCTGCTTGATGCTTTCTTATTTTTGGACACTTATGTGCTAATATGTTGCTCCTTGTAGCAGATCAAAAACTGTATATGTTGCTCCTTGTTAACAATTCCTGAATTATTTTATTTATTTATTTTTCCAATACTGTCTGCATTTGCAAGTGATGTATATGTAGTGCAAGTAATGGATATCATTTTTCCTTGAACATGTGTATTTATCATTCATCAAGGCTTCTGGATACAATTTTTTTTTAATTTTTTTTTATTTTTACCTTCAATATTTTTCAATATTAAAATCCTAAATGCGACAATCTATATTTTTCACCAATAAAATCCTAAATTGGAGAGTCATATACAAGAAGCCTTAGCCGTATCCGTAGAGAGAACCAACTCAGTTCGTGCGATCCGCAAAAAGTATAAGAGCAGTCACCAAGACCTGAATCATTTTCAGTCACCAAACCACTCTCTATTCTCTTTGTTAACAGGCAAGGATAAAAAAATTTGTTTTGAAGAATCTTGTTTCCATTTTTTGCTAAAGTAGTTATTTATTTGCTATCATTTTATAGATTTGTATGAAATCCTTTACCGCATGGGTTGAGTTTGTCCAAAATTTGTCTGTTTGAATTAAAAGTTGTGCTGGAAATGGCATTTTTGATAACAAAAAAAATTAGTCCCACGGGTTACCAATGGAGGGATAGTGTACAATCTAGAAATTTACTAATGGGTTTTAGCTTCTTACAAGTTAAACAGTTGCATATATAAAAAAGCTTGTCATTGAGAGAAGGCTACCTGACATGAATATCCAGGAAAAACATAATTTACAGATTGGTGAAATCTTTTCTTCTATGTTGGTTAGTTGTGTTAATTCTTGTACAAATTTACCCAAGTTAGAAAGTTACCCAAGTTAGAAAGTTAACGGATAACAAGTAAACCTGACATGAGTAGCTTGGAAAAACATAATTTAGAGTTTCATAAAACATTTTGTTTTATGTTGGTGTGTTTGTGTTAATTCTTGTAGAGATAACAATTGGTTTTTACTCTTTCCAGTTAGAAATATAATTGTACGAATAGGGATTCTGAAATTGTGCACCAAGTAAATCAAAAAAAAAAAAAGGAAGGACCATTTGGTGTGTATAGATACATGGACATTTGCTGTGTATTTGCACATTTGGTGTGTATTTGGTCTTTTGTCAATTATTTTTAACCTGACATGAATAGCTTGGAAAAACATAATTTAGAGTTTCATAGAACATTTTGTTTTATGTTGGTGTGTTTGTGTTAATTCTTGTAGAGATAACAACTGGTTTTTACTCTTTCCAGTTAGAAATATAATTGCACGAATAGGGATTCTGAAATTGTGCACCAAGTAAATCAAAAAAAAAAAAAGGAAGGACCATTTGGTGTGTATAGATACATGGACATTTGCTGTGTATTTGCACATTTGGTGTGTATTTGGTCTTTTGTCAATTATTTTTTTTTCAAATAAATTTTTTGACCAATTAATTTTTTTCATTTTTTCTCAAATAATTTTGTTTCAATTATTTGTTTTGGGAGATAATTGTTTTTTTCAATTATTATTTTTCCAAATAAATTTGTTTCAATTAATTTTTGTTTTTCCAATTATTATTTTTTCATATAATTATTTTTTCAAATAGTTTTTTTTTCAAATAATTTTTTCTCAATTACTTTTTTTGCAATTACTTTTTTTCCAAATAATTTTTTTTCAATTAATTTTTTTTCCAATTACCTTTTTACCAAGTAAATGTTTTTCAATTAATTTTTTGTTTCAATTAATTATTTTTCGAATAATTGTTTTTTAATTAATCTTTTTGTTTCAATCTTTTTTTGAAAGAGTTGCTTTTTGTTTTCAAATTTTCAGTTATTTTCCAAATAAATTTGTTTTCATTTTTTTGTTAATTAACTTTGGTTCATTTTTTCAATTACCTTCTTTTTTCAATTAATCTTTTTTTCAAGAAGTTTTTTTTTTCAAGTAATCATTTCATAATTTCTTATGGACATAACAAATGACGTGCACTAACAGAGTTGTTAACACAATAAACTTGTTTACCCAACAAACTTATCCCATACCTTAAATGTCACACCCGTTTACCTGTTTTGGTGTGCTTGTCATGTCATCAAACAAGTCATCACAGACTATATGGCCTCGTTTATGTTGACTGCGACATCAACACAACCAGGCCCTATGTGTGCTATTGGGTACGGGCATTGTGTGGTCAAGATTTCTCGGTCCGCCAAAAATTCAGGACGTGCATACTACCAATGCCCTCGTGGAGTGGTGAGTACAAGCACCTTCACCTTGTTTGGGATTATTACCTTGTCAAACCGTCACTAATAATTAATAATTTTTTTAACCTCAGCCATGTATCAATTGGATTGGGTGGTGTGACGAATATGGCCGAAAAATGCCTCCTGAGAATGACAGAGACAATGTTCGTCGTTTTGAGGCTCGTTTCATTGACATAGAACAGACTCTACGTGTACTTAAAGTTGTGACATGTTTTTTGTCCATCATCGTCGTTATTTTGTTGTTCCGTATGTAATATATGTATCCGTGTTTAAATGGTTACCGTACTATGATGTCCATATGTAATATATGTATCTGTGTTTGCGAAGTTGTAGGCCTTGTTTGGTTTGTGTTTCTCAAAAAATTTTGAGAAAAATTCTGTACAAATAAGTTTTCAAAAGTAGTCAAACCAAACAAATTTTCCCAATTTTTTTTTTCAAAACTTGTTTGGTTTACAAGTTTTCCAAACAAATCTCTCTCTCATACACATCAAATCAATCACTTTTTCCAAAACTCTCTCTCAAAATAATTTTTCAAAACATCTTTTGAAAAAAAATCATACCAAACAAATTTTCGTACTTTTTATCTCAAAACATGTTTCTCAAATACAAACCAAACAAGCCCGTAGTTTCTGAATTCTATGTTCATAAATGTGTGCACGGCAATCCCGTTCCAAAACAAAACACTTGTACAACTTGCGTTTCTTTTGTGATTTTAATAATGCGATACGTAATATACAAACATAATAATATATGGTTCACATCTTTGCTACAACTAATGCACTGCAATTTACGCAAATTATAATGTACTTATAGTCGCATGGCCTCAACTCGATCCGGCTCTCGTACCCCTTTCGCCAAAGGGAAGGGCCCAAAACCTCATCACAAAGCAAATTGGGACTGGGAGAACACACGTATCTTTTTGGAACTTCTTGTTAAGGAAATAGGCACAGGTAACAGGCCGCACATGTCAATCACTCAGAATGGGTACCGGTCTTTGTCTTAGACTTATGAGGCAACAACTGGATTGACGCATACCATTAAACAACTTAAAAATAGGTAGAATCAACTTAAGGCGGAGTGGCGTGCATGGTCGAAGCTAATGGATAGCCGCTGAGAGGGAGATTTTATGAGCTGGAAACGGGCCATAGAAAGGGCTGGGCAAGTTGAAGGCCGAGTGCGTTTGGTCCAGGATAGCTTTGGGCTTGCATGGAGATGGGGCTACTCGGCTAAGGCCCAAGATCGAACTTGCACAGGTGGAAACCGTGCTACTTGCGTTGCTCGGCAGGAAGGCTCGCGCCTTTAGCTCGGCAGGAAGGCCTTTGTTTTACCCGCGTGACCTATTTCGAGCTCGGCTCTGTCGGAATGCAACTGAGCTCGGTCGGTATGGAGCTCGGCTAGTGAGCATTTGGGCATGCAGCACAGCACGGCCGTGTGAGGCTGAGGTGATTCCGCCGATCTGTCGGGCTCCGCCAAGATATCCTGGCAGTTTGGTTAGGTGGTGATTGCTGGATTTGTGCTGACAGATGGGATAGCAGCACCACGTGTCAAGAGACTAATGGGAGTAGATTTGGGGCTCAGAAGGTATATAAGCGTGTCTGCGCCCCCCATGCTGAGGCAGATGATCATTTGGTGAGATACACTTAGACATTCAA